GCCGCATGATTTTATACTTGTCTCCCATTTGTCTCCCACTTGTCTCCTCTCTCCCAGTAAGCTCTGGATGCTCTCAGCTTACTGGGAGACAAGTGGGAGACAAGTGTGAAATCATGCGGCCAGAGCACTCAGAGCATGGAGAGCTTACTCGGAGACAAGTGGGAGACAAGTGGGAAACAAATAGGACACAAGTATAAAATCATGCGGCCAGAGCACTCAGAGCATCCAGAGCTTACTGGGAGACAAGTGGGAGACAAGTGTGAAATCATGCGGCCAAGCACTCAGAACATCCAGAGCTTACTGGGAGACAAGTGTGAGACAAGTTGGAGACAAATGGGAGACAAGTGTGAAATCATGCGGCCAGAACTGAGAGCATCCAGAGCTTACTGGGAGACAACTGGGAGACAAGTGGGAGACAAATGGGAGACAAGTATAAAATCATGCGGCCAGAGCACTGAGAGCATCCAGAGCTTACTGGGAGACAAGTGGGAGACAAGTGGGAGACAAGGGTGAAATCATGCGGCCAGGAACACAAGCCCGGAGACAAACTCAAAATCATCCGGCCCGAGCATGCACCCCTTTAAAAGGAGTAAGAACCCCTCACAGGTAAACCTGTTTGGGGAATGAAAAGGGTTGCAGTGTGGAGTATGAACATGCTCTCGCCACCAAGTACTCGTCCCGCCTCCAAAGCCGCATGATGGGTCACTGGATTGGCCTCACCGAAGTGCACTGGGGGACTCCGGCGCGCGGATGAAGACCCACGAGGTTGGGGAGGCGAAAATGTCTTGAATCAGCTTCGTACGTCCAGTGAGTTGTTCACAAATCACCCGGCGTCTCATTCTCAACTCCGACTCCAAAAAATCCGGAAGAAAAACCAAGTCATGCTGAAGAAACCAGGCCACATCTTTCTTCTGTTGAACCTTCGACATGGAGACGCGACTCGCCTCGCCCGAGCTGAGCGCCACCACGTGCTCCACGTGCCCCGCGTCCACTGAGAGGGACCGGAGGGACCACCGGGGCACGAACGAACGACGGCAAGGGAGGCGGAGAAAGCGAGAAACCGTTCTGGTGGGGTGGTGGGGTGGTGGGGTGAAACCGTTCTAACAAGTTGGACCACCAGACACAGAGAGAAATGAAGAAATCATAAGGAAATCCCTAAAATGACCGGGTTTGGACAAGCTTCGACAAGGGCTCCATGGCGTTTCTAAAGACAAAGTTCTTTGTAATGTTGAATCTACGAATTTCGCGCGTTGGCGGGGTTACAGGATCGGACTCTTCCTTTCTGTGGCTGGCTGGGAGAACATTGTACACTGTGAAAACCAGCTGGCTGTGCCACGCACAGGTGAACTACACCAAAACAAAACCATACGATTCTGAAATTGGGCCTCCGCGGCCTCCACCCCACAACTGCAGAATTGAAATCAGCGGATAAAAAGTTTTGTCCTCTTCTGTCAAGGCTTTCTAGCCGACAGTAAAGGGACTGCCTGCAAGGATACCGCCATTCAAAGTTTCCCAAGTTGGGAACACAAAGTTTCAACGATACCGTTGTTGCGCGCATGTCTGACTACAACCTCGATTTGCTTGATCAAGTCATCTCAATTGCATTGCACAAAGGACACCTGCTGCTGTAAAAGACCTTGGTGCGAGATGGTGCGAGCAAAATCTGACAGGTGAGCACGGAAAACACCTGTCAAAACCAGTCAAAACCAGTCACCCACTGGTCAACTACTCGTCACTAAATGAATTTGTTGTTTTTTTGGGTCGATCATGCCATGCCATTCACGACAATTCGCATGCCTGCCATGTAATACCATTGCATTCGATTCTGCGGATCTTGAAACAGGACGCACAAAACGAGAAGTGTACACGAGGCGCACTCAAGAGACCAGGCAACGCCTGAACATTTGGCTCAAGAAAAAGACCCCGCTTTCTGTGAAGCATGGGTTATGAGCCTAAGCGGTCCTGACCTAGCACGCCATGTCGTTGCTGAGCCGGCGCAGGTCGGCTTCGAAAGAGCGGCAGCAGACGGCTGATGAGAGGCTTGATGAGCTGCTGGCGCAACAGACCCCAGCACGTCGAACACAGAGTGCAGAACCCAGTGCTGGAAGACCGGCGTTGGTGAAGAGCACAAGGCAGACAGCAGCTGAGAAGACGCCGGCTGGTGCGAGGACTGATCCTCGGATGGCAATCACGGATGGTGGTCAACCGCAACTGGACCCACCTCTGGGAACCATGCTGGCTGGACTACTTCCTCCTCTACCTGGTGGAGCTCTTCTTGGTGGTGGAGGCGATGGTGCGGTGGATGTGGCTCAAGCTCAACTAAGAGAGCAGATCCCTGGATGGCCAATGCTTCAGGGTCCATATCCTCAAGGATACCCAGCGGTCTTCCATCCTGGCGTGCCTTTGGTCAGTTGCCCATTCTCCCACAAAGGTTGGAACTATCTCCTGCTAATCGAGAACGCCAACGTGGGGGACTTCAGCTCTTCATCCTGGTCGTCTACCTGAACCCGGAGATGCACTACCTGGACGTGAACTGGCGGTGATCGGTGCTATGTCGAGGCAACAATCGTCCACGTTCTACAAGCCGCGAACCAAGGATCATTGGACCACCTCACCTTGGGAGAGAACCGATGGAATGGGGACGAGTGGAATCGGCGCATATCATGATCGATAGCTTTTGGCCCCCAGCTGAGGTGACGGGTCCCGGCCAATGGGTCGGTTTTTCCTACTTTTTGCTGCGCAAGACGTCCCATGTGGGACGGGGGGAGTGCGGATCTTGAAACAGGACGCACAAAACGAGAAGTGTACACGAGGTGCTCAAATGGTTCCGGTAGAAAGGATTTTAGAAGCCAACATGTTATCAGCAGTAGAAGTTGTTTTTGAGGGCTGAAGTTGGTGTCGAGCCTTCAACTTGCTTTTTGTTGGCATTGCCGAGAAAACGACCAACAAATGAATATACAGTAAGATAATATACGTCTGCAATCGTCTGCACAAGCAGGAGACCAGGGGCAGCGTTTTGCATCATACTTTGGATTGAAAGAGAATACATAAACAGTGTGTAAAATAATCCAAAGTATGACTTGAAAGGATGGCCTGTGCTCAACCTGCACGAACAAGCAACTAGGTTCAAGGGGAGTCAAGACAAGAGAAGAAGCAGTGCCGTGCCATTCAAAGATTGACACACTTCCCATATATAAATATACCCTAGTGAATGTTCGATCGTGTGCTTAAGTGTATGGGCTTGTCGCTTGTCAAGTCTACACATCAGACCTGTTACATCCTTTTCCAATACCTTCCAACAAACCACAAGGTCAAAACCTACCACACCTGGCTTCTCGTCGTGCCAAGACACCAGCCATGCTTTGATGCAAGTGGAATGAAAATAGTGATTGCACCGCAAACGCACGACAACCTTGGCGCACGACAACCCACTCGGCGCTTGGAGCGAGCCCTCCTTCGTTTTCTCTGCGCCGGAATCGGCAGGTTCTGAGGTCAGCAGGTTGTCTTGGCAAATGGAACAGGGTTCTGCTGGATCGAAGGTCTCGTCGACTGGAATTAGGAGATTCTGCACTTCCAAAGTGCGCCGTTCGAGGACCAAGGACCTTTCGTAAATCGCATTCTGTTGCCTTGGCGAGGTGAAGCACACAGGTGTTTCAGTGTTTCACTGCGACTTCAGAAGTCGAACAAGTCCTTCTCGTTGGAGATTCGATGTGTACCGCGTCCCTTACTTCGTATGCACAAATCACTTCAAAGGCCAAGGCCGTCGAGTTCCTACGCCTCGTTGGGTTGTTCAATGAGGCCGTTGGTGCCACATAAGTACCTGACCTCATACCTGTCGTGTCGACCGGGGCGGCTTCCAGCCCACACCGGTGGGTCGGGGTAAGCCACGTTGCTGCGTCAGCTCTGTAGCAATCAGCAAATCGGCTTGCCTCGGCGTCTGTTTACCAGATACACCAGCTATTCCAGTCATTCCAGTATCAAGCTATTCCAGTATCAATTGAATAGAATCTTCCAGGATTCCAGCTTGCTCATCCAGATATCGTGTGTTTGAGAATATCAATTGAACAGATCATGATACCTGTGAACCCAGCTGGGTGGAACAACTGGATCAGCCGATACAAAGGAAAGAAAAAAGGATATCCACAGTGGAGTGACCAAGTCAGGTCCTCATCTCATCGTTCCCTTCGACCGCGCTGCAAAGAAATGCCAGGAAAAAGAAAAGCATCTGATAAAGCATTAGTCTTTGAAACGTTCAACAAAACAAGACAGAAGAGAAAAGCAGAAAGAAACGAACTGAAGAAGCACTATCAAAAGCAAGAAAGAAAACATGAAGAAGGAAAGCATATATGTATATGCAAGATATAAGTATAAATATAGATGTATGGTCCTGTTTTTTTCTCCCGATTTTTTTTTGCTTGTTTTCCTTTGGCCCAACACCCGGCTTTACACCCGGAACCCGGAGCACTTTTCCCGCCAGAGATGGACGGACGGACGCATAACGTGATGGGCGGTGGAAAAATGGCGGACGGTGAGATGCCAAAGGTCGGAAATGCGATGAAACAGAGGGGACACCCAATGCAAATGCAATGTTTAGTGGAGTTGATTTGATGTCCTGTCTCTTTTGCCTTTTCTCTCGGAAAAGAAAGGGGAGGATTTAGAGTAAGTTGTTGAGCTGAAAAGAAACCTTCAGGAACGACCCAATGCCAAGCGACCCGGTCACTCGAAACTCTTCCAGCATTCGTTTAGAATTTCGGATACCATTCACCTCCAGGATTGCCTGGCCCACTTCCTCAGCGCGACGAAAGGACGCGCGTCGCGCGTCGCTTACGCGACGGCCAGCGGAAACGCCTGCTGAAGCCTGCCATGTGTGGAGGTTGGGAAGGGTGTTCATCGTCCGAACGTAACCCACGTAAGCGAAGAGCGTCGATTGGAAGGTGGGGATTCTCCTTGTTCCAGTTGCGAACAGCATAGGAATTCTCGACATTCACAATGATCAGTCCTGGAACAAGGTCCACTCTGTGTCTTCAACCACACTATGTTTCCAAACAGGCCTGTACGTAAAACTCTATGCTTTAAAAACTCTATGCTTTAAAAGTCAAAACTAAGAAAAAGATCTCGTGCGTTCGGTGAAGTTGAACGGATTCGACACATCTCTCATGGCCAACCATTTCTGTTCCATTTCTTCGCATAAAACGACTCACGTCGTTTTCTTTGGAACCTTTCGACTCCCAGCGGTCCGGAGCCAGAAGAATGCCAAACTTCCTTTCCTCGGAAGAAAGACGGTCGGGGCAGACGAGTCCGGCCAACCGTAGGGGTCCATCGGATGGATGGCCGTGTTGGATGGTGGATCCAAGAAGGCCAAGTGCGATGACTTTGGGTTTCATCCATTCCATAATCCGAACCGAACACTGAAGCCTGGCGTCCTCCGAACGCTGAAGAACTACGCGGCGGCAAGCCAGTGGTGGTGGTGCATTTTTTCGCATGGCTCATGCGGATGGAAAGCGAGCTCAAAGGTTCTCTTTCAGAAAGCGTGGCAAAGAAAGATGAATGGGACTGTGAGTTCTGTGGTAGGGACTGTCTTGAGCCTCTGCAATCACAAGCACGAACACTTTGTCCAAGGTAGCACAAAAACTCAAATGCAAGAAGAAGTCGAAGACATGAGTAGACTATGGTAGACTCAGTCGAAGCAATGACTACAAGTCCCTACCAGTGCTCAAGTCATCGATCTGCAAAAGCTGCTGCAACCTGGCCCAACGCCCATCGTCTCACCATCGTCTCAACCCTCCAATCCCTTCCATTCAGCTCAGCTGACGTGCCACTGCCAGGGATTCTGTTCCGACATCAGCTTCCAGCGACCACCGACCCAGGCCCTCCAACACCTGAAAGAGCTCCGCTGGGCTCCGCTGGGCTCGGCTGGGGCGGCTCGGCCGTGAGATCAACGAGAAAAGAGAAAGAAAAGGGTATAGATCGATACAGTGATGAGACCATGTAGGACCTGTAAGACCATGTAAGACCATGTAAGACCATATGATCGCGAAGGCTTATTAGATACAGTGATAAGTGATAAGACCATGTATAAGACCTCAGTACATCTTCAAGGGAGAGCCGGAAGAGGTGTCACATTCCGAAAACTAGGACCCCAAAGAAAAAGAGACCTTTCGCCGGCATGGGGACGAAAAGAACCAAAGAACCAGCAGCAAACCCTAAACCCCTGCTCCGCCCCGCTCCGTTCCCAACCAACGCCTCAAGGCCCTGCGCCCATTCCGCACTGCGCACCTGCCAGACCGAGGAACGGGATTCGACCGACGCGTCACCGGGTTGTTTGCCTTCTTCTCTGCTCGAATTTCCAACAAAGGTGAATTAACACCTATATTTGTATATATTTGTGGTGTTTCGATACGAAAAATGAGTTTGAATTTGAACAGTCTGAATAGTCATGAATCTTCCACTGGCAGAAAGAGTGGCACCTCGTTTCCCCGTCACAAAAGACACACACTACCGTCTCGTCACCGAAACGTCGGTCGGGTCGGTCTGAACGAGTGCCGCGTCACGCAGGCGTCCAGAAGCGAGTTGTAGGTCAGAACGCTCGGCGACAAGCGGAGGGCCTCGGCCAGAAGCGGTGGGCGTTCGGAGCGCGTTGACGGCGTTTTGGTGAGGACAACTGCCGTTGACCGATGCCATCGGCTTGCAACAGGGGCGGCTCTGTCATGCGGGCAGAGTGGAACTGAAGCTTCAGGCCAAACAAACACGGTTTGACTGTCATCATCAGAGTCTTCTGATAATCCAACTTGGTATGCAACGAATTTTCACTCCTAAATGCACCACCCAGGCACCATCATGTGGTCATTCGCCAGTTGAAGCACCTCATTCCAATGTTGAGCTCGGGCACAGGCAGAAAGGCAGCTGTTCACCTGCCAAACCGGCCACCGAAACACGAGTGTGCGAACAATTCAATACTCGGCTACGTCGTCGGTCTGTTGATGTTTCCAAGCACATCACGATACGACGCAGCCGAGAGAACGTTGGCTGTGAGTCTCCGCCGTGAGTCGTTTTTCGCTCCCACAGTTCAGGCAACTCGTGCTGACGAGCCACCGCCACGGTATCTGCTGGAATTGGCTTGGAAAGGATGGCAAGTGCCAATTCCCATTCGTGGCCAAATCCACAGGCTGTAATCAACGCACCTTGAATGGCAGCAACAAGAAGCCACAGTTTCCTGCTTGCCCAACTATATAGGTCACCCTCTTGATCCCCAGTCCCAAAAACTGCGCCACGGCGCTTGTCGTGGTGGCATCTGGCAAAGCTGCACGACGACACCAGTTCGGTGCAGAAGTCTCTGAGAGGAGCAAGGCCAAAGGCCACCTAAGATGCGAAGGCCGCCAGTCTCTCACAGGTTGCTGAAGGCTGCGGTGGTCTATCACAGCGGTCTGTCGCGTTAGTCAGACTTGTCGGAGGGAGCTGCCTCTTCAAAAACATCTCTTGTGTCTCCTCCAAAACAATGAAGATCTTCCAACCAGAGCCCTCACAAAAATGGCCCTGCCCGATCCTTTCACGCCCTTCACGCCGGTGCATCCAGGCGTCTGGAGGCCATTCCCGTAGGCACTGATGGCAGCGTTGACCTGGGTCCAACAAACAAAAGCGCCAACCCTGTTTTTGTGTCTTTTGGTAGACCCTTCCAACCCCGATGGATGCTTAGCTTCATATTGACAAGTGATGTTTCTGTGTTCAGTTCATCTCGCGAGTCAGGTCAAACCTCCCCCCGAAGTCGTTCAACACACAATATCAAGGTCAAGTTGGAATGAAGCTCGAAGACACTCGAAGACTAGTTCACATATGTTCACATCATGTCATTCTCACATCTCCTCAGTGGAAAAAAAGAAACACCCAGGGACCCAGGAGCTAAGCCCCGCGAACGAAACGGCGGACCGGGGTGTTTCCGCACACCGCGAATGAAACGCACGACGCCGCCGCACCCCGCACCCCGCACCCAACCGCGTGGCCGTGATCCGGTTCGGCGGCACCCGCTCGGCGCCTCGGTCGAAGCACAGGAGGAATGAGTGCCGTCGTTTTCGGACCAAGGGGTGCCTTTGTTCGGATCGCTTGACGAAGAACGTGGTGAAGACTCTGAACCAAGGCGAATCCGCCACTCGAGCGCCCAATCCAAGTGGCGCATCTCTGCCAACAACTCGAGCGCCCTCTCCCATTGAAGCGCCTCGAGAATTTCAAAAACAAAGACATCACAGAGACAGCAAGGCTTCTAAAAACGAACGTAACAAAACTTTTTTGGGTGCCCGAGAACCACAGGGTGGTGCGTTTGTGGCCAGGCTCCAAGAACCAACATTCGACGCGATCCACTCGCCTTCTCACAAGCGCTGATGGCCTTGGATCGCAAGATCTGCGCTTGAAACAGGCAGGGCAAATGATTGGAACACGAAGGACAAGCAAGAGGCAGTAGATCCGAGTGTTTAAGACAACTTGCTTTGGCCGAAGAAGCTCCTTCTCAAGTGGGTGCAAAACACAGTTGGCCAACTCAGCCTGCATTGTGTTGCAAGAACAGAGATTAAGTGATGAGCCAACAAGTCGTCAACACCTGCACACAGATCTAGCCTGCAAGATCTACTGTAAGTTAAGTCGTTTATATAAGCCTTAAACAAAAGATGTGTGAGTCATAAGAGCAAATGCTCGGCTAAACCAAATCGAATTCACCCGCCCCACTCGAGTCGTGAGCGAAGTGAGCACCGGAAACCCCTCGGACGTCCGGTAGACCTGAAAGAGCGAGGCACCGCGCTGTAGGTAATCACGTCCAATCTGACGGAGCTCTCTTTCATGACCTTCGCAATTGACACTGACGCCTTGAAGACACTTGCTAGCAAGTGGTTCTTCTTGTCAATATGCAAAGTCTTTTCAAACATGCCTCTGCAGGTGTCTTGGGACACGCTTCAATGACGCAAAACTGTGAACGGCTCTGAAGCCAAGCTTCCAAGAGCATGTGCAAGGCCCACTGCCATTGACGGCCCTTTTCACAGCTGCTGATCAAGGCATTAAACGTCACATCGTTGGCGAACAAGTGAGACACCTGCACAGAAGTCCCCATCCAGAAGAGAACGATTCCAAACATTTACCAAAAAGCTGATGGAATCAAGTCAATCATGTCAATCTTAATTGAAGAGAACTGCTTCAAAGGATTGTATACTATCCACACCGTCAAGTTAGGTACCGGGAGTTCTCGTGTCTCGCTGCGAGTCCGTACCTGGGTGAATTCGAAGAAGCAGTCGAGCGCTTGAGACCACGAGGACGAGCGTTCACATGCGCTGATGACCTGGGGCCGATTGGGCGCTTTCCGGCTCCGCGTCGGCACCGACGGTGCCACCGCTGCGTCGGCACCGCGTTCACCGCGTTCCGGGCGGAGGCCGTGGCTCGTCGAACGGAAGAACCTTCCGTCAGGGTTTTTGGAGCGAACGATGCAACGACCAGACTCGTCTCTGTTGGGCAAACATCCCGCGTACGCAGTGAATGGTCCGAAAACGGTGGGAAGATTGCGAACTCGTCGAAATGGCACCATGACCTTTCACAGATCCACCTCCACTCATCCCGGCACGGAGACCACAAACCTCGATGAAGCAAAGGGACTGCATTGTAGGAGACCACGTTTGGCACTTGTCCAGACCTCGGGCAAAGGAAACAAAACATCCAAATCAATGAGAACAATGTTTGACAATCTTTGGCGGATGAAATCGAAATCACCAGAGATCAAGGCCGCACCGAGCTCACCAAACGAAGACCGAAGAGTCCTCACGACCTGTAAGGCCCCCACTGCAAAACCGCGAACGTGTGCACCGCGTCGCGCCAGAAGCGTGTCTCCTCCGCAACATCCGCAAATGTCCAAAGAACAACCAAATAAATAACGCTCCACGGCATTGAAATCGAGCAGAGAGTGGTCTTCTGTTCACCCAAAGAAGTTCAAACAAAAGAAAGAAGAGCTCCCTCTAGTTTCAGGTCGGGTCCCCCCCTGTCCAAAAACTCAATCCAACCCATGACACAAAAGAGTGACGTTCTCAAGAGTCACCCAGCAAGAGTCACCGAAAGCACCGGCGGTCCCCACCGGAACCAAAACCCGAACGACCGGTGCCGAGCCTTAAAGACTCCCATCAACGCGGTCAACACAAAGCCTTCCGGCGAGGTCTTGAACTGAATGACGGGCAGAAAGAAGGCCCGAAGAAACAAGGTGGGCCCGCGGTCGGCAAAGATCGAAGAAAAGGTTCAAATTCCTAAGAAGTTATAGTCACGGAAATAACATGAAACAAAGATGTGAAGTTGTAAGAGTCTTGTTCGCCACGCTCTCGGAGTGGTGAAAAGAATGACTTCCAAAAGCACGCGACAGAAGGGTCAACTTGACACGCGACAGAGAGGAGCATCTTGACCAGTCCAGAAGGGTCAATTCCGTTGCAAATACCTGGCGACCCTCTTCCAGTCGATCGAAAACCTACAGGCAAAACTTACCTACTCGAAAACTCCACTGGAGTTCCGCTACACGGAAAAAGAACTCAGTTTCGACAACGTAGATAGACTCACATTCACCAAAGTCAACCACTGTATAAATATATATATACCCTTGGAAGGGCACCCTTTGAACCAATCCACAAGAGAAGGGTGAAGCGATACTTTTGAACTTGTAGCTGGTTCCAGGCGCAATTCTTCCAACTTGGTCGTCTCCAACACTGATGCTTGTTGGGCAAATCCATTGTTGTGCGCTTTAATCTTTGACCCAAGGGGCAGTTTGCCTTCAGCTGATCTGCTCTCATCTTCTGCAGCAGTTCGAGGGCACCCAGCCAATCTTTGCACATCTCACACGCCTCGTCGTGCTACATGATGCAGAATAAAGGCTCTTATCGTGCAATGTATCTTGAATTGAAATGATAGAACAACAACAGCAACAAGAAATCAGTGTGTTTTTGGTGAATTGTGCTTACAGCCTTTGTCATTTGATCCAGACGGTCACTCAAGTCAGGAAACAGGTCAGGTCTTTCCCACTTGCCTTGATGGCCGCCGTGTAGGTGATCTCCTCGAGTTGAGCATCAAACGATGCAAGTTAGCAGCCTCCATTTCTGGAAGAGTGGAACTGCTTTTGGTCACCAAAAAAGAGAGACCGAAATACATGCCCCCTTGATGCAAGTCTTCAAACATGCTGATGTTCAGGCACCCTTCTCTCCTAGCAGATGCGTCATGTTCCAAAAAACAAGCACTATATTGGAAAAAACAAAAAGTAAAAACATACACGCCCCGTCCGTCGGGCGCAGCTGGAGATCTCGAAGCTCTTGCAGCAGTTGGAAGACCTGGATTCTTCGTCCACGCCCAACCACAACAGTCCACGTGAAGAGACGAAAGGATCACTGAAAAACTCCAAAGACCGAAAAAAATAGAAAAGGTCACTGGAAAAGAATCACTGATCACCGCCCTGTTGCGTTGTCGTTTGACGCAAAGCCCCCCCTCCTTTTGGCGGTGTCTTCCGGTCACGGGACCTTCGGAGCGGAAACGCTGTCCCAAGCACAAGCGCCCATGACCTCGGGGGGGCGTGAGCGCGTGAGGAGCCACCAAAAGAAGTGAACGCCTTTGAACCATTTTCCAAGATCCTGTTTGACCCCTTCGAAATCGAATAGGTGTCAAGTTGTAACATCGAAGCCAACTCTAAGTGTCCAGTGTCTATTGTACTCGGCATCTTTTTGCAATCCAGGAACTGAGTTGAAGGATGCCGTGGCGGGCGCCATGCGTGCCAAAGTGATCTCCGAAAACTGCTGCAACCTCTTCGATCGAAACGACATCGCACGGGAGACACCCTACTTGCACGCTCGAATCTTCCAGACACTTGCCGGTCAAAACAAATCTCAAAATTTGCTGCTTTTGCTGCCCCATCATCACTGCATGACAAAGGGCGCCAAGCACCACAAATGTGCGCGTTCATAGCCCAAGATTGCAGAGTTGTAGGATACAACATCCTGATTGGAGCTGTTTTGGGTGACCACGGCCGACTATACCGGCGAAGATCGATGTCACGCAGGGTGTTGAAGGGGAAGATACGGGGGGAAAACGGTGAAACCATGTCCAGAAACCGGAAACCCTTCGCAGCAGAGTGGAAGTTCCGGACCCGTCTGGACCGCATGTCGATGTCTGCCTCACCAAGAATCAGCTTCTGAACCTCTGCTGAGGCTTTCATCCAAGAGCCACTGCGCCCGTGACCAAAGCCCTGCTTTCCCGAAAGCAGCGATGGTCCTGCGGAACGACGAAATGCTCCGCAAAGCAAACATGCCTTTTCAGCGGTGGGGTAGGACCGGGTAGAACCTGACACGCACGGGGGCATCGGGCATCATATTGTGCAGCGAACATCTTCTCCCTTGTGAGGTTCTTACGCTTTGAAGAATGCTCAACTAGCAAGGTATCTCTCCCTTAAGCCTTAAGTCTTCTCTCCTGCTGTAGGCTGCGCAGTGTGGAATGCACGTACTTTGTTGACGTCGAAGTTCCCACAGTTCGGTTTGCCAAGTGGTGCCGACCGAGGGCGGCTGGCTGCGGCTTGGCATGGAAACATGACGGTAGCCATCGCGACGCTTTTACTCGGCAACAAGAACTAGCAAAGAAGTGCTTGATCAGCTTCCCGGCATTTGTTCTTGTATGTTCTTGTAACCCTTGAGGCAGCAGCTCCTTTCCACTGCTGGCTGACTCAAACCTAGAGGACCTCAGAGTATAGCATTAACGCGCTCATTGTGTTCGCTTGAGGTAGCATGTATTCCTTGCCTTTAAGCCATAGCAAGCGGGATATAAACTCCTCAGCATTTGAGTGAAAATGAAATTTGAGTGAAGATGCAGCCGGTTCACGCCATCCAGCAGGGCATTCCAGTGGCGTGAGGTGTGAGGCTAAAACAGAGTGGGATATCTTCCCTGCAGCCACGTCGTTGGAAACATTTTTTCACGCAATCACAAGCAACCACACGCCACTTGCCAGTTGTGTTTGACCATTGGGCTTACTCATAGATACCGCTCGACCTGTCTTTGGGTCAGCTGTACACTGGGAGTCAGAGACTTCATTGGCATTATATACCATAATTGCCCGCACTGTTTGCAAGCAGAGGCACTTTCGGCGTCCCCTCCAGTTGTTGGCCTAATTCATTGAAAAAAGGTGAGTTGCTCAGGTACCACAAGCCAGCCACTTGGGAGTTGTTCTAAGGCATGTTGTTTCAGGGGGCACCTGATGTTGAAATCAAGTGGCCACGTCAAGCAAATGATCCTCTTCATATGCAAACCACATGAGCCCAGATTGGTGCTGCCCAGGCCCTTTGTCCTCGGGCACACACCGACCAAAGCGACATAAACACACGCTGCGGCATAAAAAGCGATAGGCCGTCGAAGCCAACCAGTGGTTGTAGAGCCCATTCTTCCGTTCGACCGCCTCGCAAATGGGAGAAGCTCTCAGACTAAGTTACTAGTATATGTGCGTTTCTTTCACTGAATCAACTTAGCACTCAGCATATAGCTTTTAGTTGTGATCTATCACAACTATGGTGTCCCTCTCTAGCTCAGCGCATTCGATGCAGCCCCCTCCTGGTCACCGATGTCAATCCCGATGTCAAGGTGACCCGCGCCTTGTCGTAAAGCTCTGACAAGAGGCCGATGTAGACATTCATCGCCACAGTGAACACGATGCTCATGGCCATGAACTCCTCGTGACACGGAGAAGACGAACCGAACCACGATGCACCGGCTGAGGGATCGAACGAAGCAATCCCGAACGAGGCTTTCACGAGAACCATGTCCAACCTGGTGGTTTCTTCGCAACTTCCCAGAACCACTTGGTGCCCGTGAAATGGGATGCACCCCTCCTTTGGGGAAAAATAAGCACCAAACAGCAATAGGGGCATGCCGGGATTGTCAGCTTAATGCTGGAGATTGGTCCAACCTTTGCTGCCACAGCTCCATACAAAGCCAGGTGTGGAACTTCTCATGGTTGAAATTTCCTGTCTCACCTGCCGCCCGCAGGAAGAAGCCGCTCGGCAGCTCAAGACGTGAAGAAACAAATTCTGGCCACACTTGTGACCGACCAGGCCCTGCGTCACTAGTCCTTGCTTACACCCCACAGATCCATGGTTGCATGAGGATCCTTAGAAACCACCGGAGGAGAAAATTCAAAAAAAAAATAGTAATAACGTCCACTTCTTCGTCCATGTCTCCACACGGGAGGCGTTCCGCGTGCGGCGTCCGCGGTACCCGCGCCTTCGAAGACACCATGTTTGAATTTGCCTTTCACCTGCTCATCCAAGCCTTCAAGCTCAGCTAATTCGAAGTCGCCCAGGAGTTCCAAGCGGAAAATCTTCAGAAAGCCTCGGTGGAACCCCTGGATCGAACTCGATCCGAGGAACGAAAATATCATAACATTGGTTAAGTATGTTAAGTTAACTTTTTACGAGACCTCCAGAATATGAATAGATTTATGAAGATATGTATACATATGTGGGCCTGTGAGTAAATAAGTAAATGATCAAATATCTGTGTTGTGTCTAAATAGTCAGTTATATGTCTGGGCTTGTTTGTACATATCAAATTATACACACACTGTATGCCATGGGACTGCTGTACATCCAGCATGTCAAGGAACTTGAGAACAAGTTGTTGTGGAAAAGTCCTTCTGGCCAGCTCAACAGGATGTTATTTCCACGAACTCAATAGACCATGGACAAAGTCTCCTTTGTTGAGAGTTTCTTTCTTGCGTTCCAATCTTGACATTGTTTCGGCCATGCTCTGGGCAGTAGCTTGTATAATCTTCTGGAAGCCCCATGCATCAGCTGCCATCAGTGCTGTTCCATCTTCCTGTTTCAGGCCACACTTTGCAAAGTCATAAGGCTAAGCGGTCCAGGTCTACTCTGTAAACCTGCGCAAGGATCTCGGACATGTGACCCGTGCACTCTCGGGTGTGTCCGCCAAGGGACCGTTCAAGACGTTGGCGAAGCTGCCACTATTCTCGGCAATGGGAAAGACCGAGTATGCATGGAAAGAAGCCAAGATGCCCACCATCAGGACCATGACAAAATTGATCCTCAGGCCGATTCTGGCATGTTTTGTTGTCTTCAGACAGTGCTATCAGCCACACAACAGGATCCCGACCGCTTTGACCAACCTTCCATCGACAGCTTCCACCGACTGCTTCAGCCGCTGCACGGCGAAACAACGCGAAAGCAGCGCGCGCGGAGGGTCGGTGGTCGGTCTGTTTTCCACACTGCGACGAAAGGATCGATCTGAGAGGTACTAGTACTGAAGGGGGACAGCGATGTCGCTCTCTTTTCGATGCTGGTTTGCCCCAGTACTGAACGAATGGAGCCAGCCGTGCTCTCTAACCGCATCCCACGAAAGAGCCATCGTCCGAGGCGCGAAGCTGGGCGGGTGACAGCGTGTAAGACCGGGACCATGGTCTTCCCCACTCCCTGGAGCTGAAAGATTTTTTTTGCACGAGTCGAGGCGCTGTGTGTGCAGGTTATGCACAAGTCACCTTAAGCTAGTAAAGAAGGAGAATTGAACCGGCCAGAGAACGAAACCGAACCAACCAAACCAACAAAACCACAAAACCCACCAAAAAAGGCACGGTTCAAACCTCAGGTAGGCTGACTCAGCCAGAAAGGTGGTGAAACGAAATACTGGATGGGGCAATGAATTCTTGGCTTACGCTCAGTACCTCATCTGCAAGCTCTTGTGTTTCATTTGCATCAAAGGAGAATGACAGCCCTCTGATTAGCGATGAAGTCCTCATTCAGGAGAGCAGAGCGATCGAAAGGCCCGCCTCGCTTCAAGGAGAGGGTCGATGCACAGTCAGGAATCTGCTTGACCAAAATTGTTAGCCATGAAAGGCATAACAAGCAGCATTTTTCCAGCATCATACCACAAACCAGTGCTCACGATTCAATCATGGAAGGTTTGACTACCCTCCCCCTGCACTACCCCTCCCCCCCCTCAAAGAAGGCCTGAGAACCTACTAAGGCCTTAGTAGCTTTCAAATCGTACTTTCCACTCGCCAACCACTCAATTGCACAGGCGCCTGCCTGCGTGTTTTTACTAGGCTCTTGCTGAGTCGCTGAGGTGTCCATGGTTGTTCATGGATTCATGGCTCAAGTCTTCCGGTCATGGCGCTCACCTTGTGTGAGCTCACTGCTTTCAGAACCATGGTTCACCAGGGGGGGGCCAGACCAGGGGGGGACCAGTGGAAATTCCCATGAATCAAGGAGAGCGAGGGTACTACGAGACATTCCGACTCAAGGAAAACAGCTGGATCAACGATCGACAACTACAAGTTGTCAAGGGACGAACCCAGCGGAGCCATGTAGTCAAGAAGAGACAGGACTGGTAAGTATGACGAAGACAGGCTAGTCCCACTGGCCCCCCCCATGGGGAGGGGGAGCACCAGCGGTGCAACGGCGACTTCAAAAACAGCTTTGCCATGGGAAGTCGCAGAACGGCAGTTTGTCTCCACCACTCACCAGGAGTAAATTCGGGCAGCCAAGGGTGCAATGTTGATGAGATTGGGCTTTGATCAGCGCCTTGCCAATGCGCCTCCTTGTGCATTCATGCGTGTTCTTGTGCGTTTTGAGACGCGCAAGCCCCCTGTACTACGTGAAACATAAGTTTATCCTATATAAAAGTGCTGTACAGGCTGTACAATCTGTACTCATCCAGGACTACCATTCGGGTGGTAGCCTGGGCACTGTCTAGCCGCTCAGTGTTCATTTACACCCACGAGGTAGCTGGCTCTAGTGTGAGCAGGACCAGCACATGGGTGCAAGTCTGAGCTCTTGGCTTAGCTTAGCAAGGCTTAGCAAGACTAAGCAAGGCTACTGCAGGCTACTGCAGGTCCTTGCGCATTCCATCAAGGAAGTCATCAGCCCACATGTCACAACCGCTTTCGGTATTTGGCGGAAGGAAGCGAATCCACTTTGGTGTGTCCAATTGTCTACATTTGTCAAAGGCGTTTGCCTGAGCATATGTCCCTCTCCAGGTCGTGCTCTTTCCGGTTTTGTTGAGTATGCGGAGTTGCGTGCAGCCTGCAAAGGCACGCCGAGCAATATACAACAGGGTTGGTGGGGTACTTACCTCTCGTAGCGAAGTGCACTTGAGAAAGGCTTCTTGCTCTATCCTTCGCAACTTGCTGGACAGACTAAGCTGCTGCAAATTAAATGTAGGCAGTGTGCAAAGGTAGAACCCAATATTTCAAGTAATTCGGTTCGGGAAATAGTTGTAGCTGCTGACAGCGCTCGCCGGCAGCAGGTCCAACCCACGTGAAGTCTGGTGGCAGGGAAAGCGAGTCCAAAAAGCAGCATTCGGGCAAGCATCTCCTCAGGTTCGTAGGGTCATACTCAGTTTGTTCGAAGTTGAGCTGTCGCAATGCAGTGCATTTCTCAAATGCCCTTGGCTGGAACTGCGCTTGCGGGGCTGGTTGATTAGTGGTGTCACTGGTGGCCCCGATTTGCGTCAGGGAGCGGCACCTTGATTCCGAACTGCTTACACCCCGGAGCTAGAACAGTTCGGAGTGCATAACATCTGCGAAAAACTCCATTCTGCAGGCAGACTACTGTACTCGGCTGGTGAACAATCTGGAGTCGCAGGCAACTCCGCCAGGCAGCCTCGCCAATGATCCGAATGCCAGCTTCAACCTGCACATGCCTGACTTCTGTGTTGTGCGAAAATGCTTGTGGCAGTATCCTATCCGTAGTGTTGTATGGGACTCGAACAGCTCTGGCCTTGCTTTTCAGCTGCCCTTTGTGTTCCGCTTCAGTGAAGCACTGCCGAACAATCAAGTTAAAGCAGTTGTTGTCGCGCAGGGTGTCCCAGATTGGGTCAACTAACATTTTACGAGTGTCTTTATGGACAAAGTCAAGCTCGCAACCAAAGGTGCTGCTCTCTCCTATGTAAGGGAGTTGCTCTAGCACTGCATTTTCAAACTCATTGAGTCTGTCAAATTCCTGCAATTCTATTGTCAGCTGGATTTCTTCTCCAGCAAAGGTGCTCAGGATGAGATGTATCACTAGTGATCTCTCTACACTCCCTGGGGAGCTACAGAGGGACATGATGTCTACATCCATCGCAAGAATCTCCCGTCCGAATTGTTCTACCGTTGGCTTGAGCCTACAGCCAGCAGCATGGAGAAGATTTCCAAACCCGCAGAAGCATAGAGCTGTAACCTACTTAGGGACGGCTGCTTGGGCAGCCGCCCTACCGCAATCCTACCCCTTGACGCACTATACTCATGTATGATGGCTGGGGGGGACCATCCAGTCACTCCCGTTCGAAGGTGATAATGGAGCCACCTTTAGTGCGTGACAGGCTTTGAAGGCATTGTAGGCTGCATAAGGGCGTCTCCAAGTAGTTTTCTTGCTTCTCCTGTAGGTAAGGCATGCCAGGTTGCTACACCCCCCAAACGCCCTGTGTCCTATACACCGTAAGTGAGTAGGGAGGACTAGGCTGCTCAGGGCAGTACATCCAAAGGCCTCTGCCCTTATCTCTCTCAGGCTGGGTGGTAGGGTTATCTCTTGCAGGCTTGGACAGTGTGAAAAGGCGTGCATATGCAATAGATCAAGTCTGGTTCTAGAGATATCCACCTGGGTAAGTTGTTTGCAGTTTTCATAGGCCCTATGGCCAAGAAAGACAGTCTCTTCTCCCAGCGTGACACGCTTGATCCCTGACGAGTGAAAGCAGCCACTGGGTATCCCAGCAGGAGGGGACGTCGGGGTGACGATGTCTGTGATTGCACACGCTGGTGGCAGGGCAAGCTGACTCAACTTAGTGCAACTTTCGAAGGCATAAGGCGCGACTACCGCTCCATTGGCTAGCCGGCAAGGATTTTCTGTGATAATTCCCCCTTTTTCTAGGGCGCAGCATTCAGAGAAAAGTCTAACACCAAAGAATACGCACCCTGGCACTTCGGCTACCGCCAGGGCATAGCACCCTTGAAAGGACGCATATTCGACAGCAACTACAGTTGCTGGCATCTTCACAATTCGAAGCGACTGGCAGAATCTCCACGCTTGTTTGTCAATTGTGTGGAGACCGGGCTCCACCTTGACGTGTCTAAGCCAAGTTAGTGAGAAGAAGGCCTTGGCAGGAAGGACCCCTGTGTCATTGGCAGGAATCTTGATGGCTTTGGGGTGAGCTTCATACACTTCTCTCTGGACTTGCTCTTTGCAGCTGTATGACTGAAAGCATTCTTGCACAACTAGGTGAAAATGCGTGTTGTTCCAAAGCTCATCATGGATGGGGTCACACAAGACACGCTGGGTGTCCGCCTCTAAGAGAGTCAGTTCACACCCAAAAGTGTCCAACAGCTACTCAGAGGCAGGTGTTCCACAAGATAATCCTCAAGCATTTCCCAGTTATGATGAACGCCAATCGGCACTGCGATCTTTTTCCACGAGTACGGACGCCGTGTGGGCGGAGTGCCCAGGTCATCAATGAAGGGAAAGGAAACACAACGTGATGAGGGGGAAAAGAACACAAGCAACCCCAAACCAAAAACACCAACCAAACAAAACCCCAAACACAAAAGCCAGAGGCCGAATCCCCCTCATCTAAAAGTGTTTCCTCTGTACGAAGGTGAGACAGGTGAGAAAAGTTGGTAGTAAACTATCTATGGGCCTGAATTCACTACGAAGTCGGTCTGAAGGGTCAGCGAACTAGCTGAGTGCAACGATGCCAGTCAAAGGGGCTTCGCTCCACCCTCAAAACTGTGACCAAAAGGCCACTGCGTCGAGTGGCGAAAGTGATAACTGGGTGCTTGGCAGGAGCTGCATTGTTTGTCAGCAGGTCTGATTCTTGCCCAGGGAAATCAGTTGTTGCCCTGCCTAGCATGCCGTGGAAAAGTCCCTTCTCGTTGCACAACCCTTTCAACTGATTGCACGAACGAAGCGAGAGGCATATCAATGGTCAGGCAGTGGAGGCAGAGGCGAACGAAGAGAGCTTGCTGACTAGAATGCTGCATTCCCCCCCCCCGAAGGGAGGTCTCCTTTGCACCCCTCGGCATTCAAGAAGGGCTAAGGCAGTATACTCTGTTCCAGAAAGAAAGAGAGGCGCCAACGTGAAAGCATCCTTCTGTTACGCGCAAGGCCCGTGTGAAACAGGTGAAACCGTGGACCTATCCTAGCATGGTACTTGTGCCTCTTTGTACAGCAATGGTTATGGCATGGCCGCCGCAGAGAGAACTAAGGTTCCCCCTGGCCGCCTTCCATTACCATTCTCTACCACCCGCCTTTTGGGAACGAGAAGCTAAGGCTCCCATTCCTGCAGGCTCACTGAATCGTAGCTGGTGAGGCCGAAATGGTGACTCTGCTTGAGCTTTGTTACGCCTGGCTCGCATAATCGAAGCGGCAGAGTAGCAATCCATCCCCACTGTCGTCAGAACGTTGCCGGTCTAGGGTATGGCTTCTTGAAAGTCTTCTCTCCATTGGTCTTTGGCATTTGGCGGCAAGAATCGAAGCCACTTGGGCTTGTCTAGTTGCTCACATTTGTCAAATGCATTGAGCCTGGCATATGTACCTCGCCATGTTTTGCTTTTCCCTTTTTTACGAACTGCTCGAAGCTGCGTGCAACCTGCAAAAGCACGCCTCGCTATATACAGCAGGGATGGTGGGACGCAGACTTCTTGCAGCGAGGTACACTTGAGAAAGGCTTCTTGCTCAATGATTCGTAAATTGCGGGGGAGGCTGAGTTGCTGCAGCTGTGAGCAATATGCAAAAGTTGAGCCCAAAATTTCAATGATACACGTTTGGGACAAATCAACAGTTTGTAGCTGCTGGCAGCTCACACATGCGGCCGATCCTATCCTGTTAAAATCTGGCGGCAGGAAGAGTGCGACAATGCCTGCTTCCAGGAAGCAGCAGTCAGGCAAACTTCGGTTCGGATATGCAGGACCACACCCTGACGTTCCCAAGTTGAGGTGATGCAGGGCCG